ATGTTCAAAGGCTTAATGTATCACGACATAACAAAACCAAGAAGCACATACAGAATTTAGGAATGAACGAAGGGGATTAGTTAATATTATGCAGAATAATATGCACTAATCGTTAGGTTTGTAGAAAAGAGTGTTGTAGATTGTAGCGTGGTGCGGGGGGCAGGGCGATGGCGGTAAGCAAGGGCAACACGGAATTGATAGTGCCTTGCTATATTATGCTATCATTATAATAAGGAACCTCCCAAAAACAACCATTCTCATTTATGAAGGCCCCTACATTATTCCCTGAGGCAGACGGGTCTTTTTGGCGTGTTGAGGTCGGGAGTTTACCGAAGACGAAGGGCTTCCGAAGCTAAGGATTCTAGGGCCTAGGGGTTGCCCTACCCTGAAGACTATAGTACGGTTTAGGGTTTAGGGTTTAGGGTTGTGGCTATAGCGCTTTAGGTTTTAGGGCTGGGGCTCCAAGGTTATGGGTTAGGGTTCAGGGTTGGCTCTAGTACATGATACTGAAAACGACGATCAGGGGCCGATGTATACTTGAAAACGACGATCAGGGTCCGATGTATACTACTACTGACTGACCTCTTGCGATCCGAATTCGGGGGGAAACCCATTCGTCAAGAGACTTCCAAAAGAGATTCAGGTCCATAGACTGCAGAGTGTAGTTGGGGCTGCTGGGGTTGGGTGGATTTATCCGGTGCCGGTTAAATTCAGTAAGCACTCCCGCCACGAGAAACTGAAACTCCAAACCCTACACCTAAACACTATTCAAAAGCCCTAGCCTGCCGTTGAAAGCCTCCCCAGCTAAGCCGTGGGCAACCGGCCCTGTGTGAATCCCCATCTTCAGCTTCACCTCCTGCTCAGGCTCGGGGATTTAAGCACCCCCAAACCTGAAACCCTAAACCCTATAAATAAATAAATATATATATATATATATACATATCCTAAGCCCTCAGAAATCCTAAACCCTATATATAAATAAATATATATATATATACATATCCTAAGCCCTCAACCCCAAACCGAAATCATAAACACAACGGCGGAAACCTGAACCCATTGGGATTCGGGCGCAGCTCTAGCTGAAGGGGGCATTAGGTCTTTGAACTCGGGGCAGAGAGGTTTCGGCTAGATCTCAAGGTTACTAGTCAGAAGGTGTTAGAGTGTACCTTAAGAACCCAAAACCTACCTTTTTTGTAGGGTCCCTATAAATCCCATATTAGGGTTTATAATAAGAACCTACAAAAAAGTGGGTTTTGGGTTCTTAAGGTAGGGGTTTGGGGCTCAAGAGTGGCAACCTTACAACTCCGATATGCGGATGCTGAGGGTTCAGAGTTTAGGGTGTCTAGGGGGAAGGGTTCTAAGGTTGAGGTATACGGCTCAGGGCCCGGATTCCCATTCCGACCACATAATCTTAAGGGCTCGTTTAAGGGTTCCTTTAGGGGCTCTGTTAAGGGTTCCTTGAATACCAGAACCTACTTGCGTTGTGCCTTTGGATTTTTTTGGGTGCCGACTGGGCTCTGCAACGAAGAAGTTTGCGGTAGATCCAAACCCAAAGTTCTACACACTTGGAGTCTCAAGCCCTAACCCCCAAGCCCTAAACCCTAAACCCTAAACCCTAAACCCCTAAACCCTAAACCCTAAACCCTAAACCCTATACCCTACTATAAAGGGGCCCTAGGGGCTTTGGTACCCTATATAGTAGGTACCTGGGTTTAGGGTTTAGGGTTTAGGGTTTAGGGGGAAGGGTGGGAGAAGTAGGAATTTCACCGACGAGCCCAGCGAACTCGGCCGTGGGTCAATGTCCTGAAAACAAATTCTCTAAGCTGCATGCTCTGGGTGGATCAAGGTTTGATATGGCAACCCACACATCGAATTAATCTCATATTACCATAATGTACCATAGTAGAGTACAGTTGATACGACGATATACTATATTATACTATACCAGCATATCTACTGAGACCAAGAAGCCACAAGGCCTGAATCCCTGAACACGTCCACAAATGAGGTAGTAATACCCGGACCTATATAAGCACAGTCCCAAAAGACCCCATGTACCCCTGTCGTATATACTTAGGCCTTAAAGTACCTAGAAAAGGGACCCCTTTAAGGCTTAAGTAACTACAAAGGACTTCTGAACCCTCGAAAACTCGACCTCTCAGGCCCTCAACCGTATGTCGCCAACACAGACACCCTGAAATCCGCACAAAAACCCTGCAGAACCTTCAATCCAATCCCCTGCGGGTCCATGTACCCAAATAGTATATACATTGGCCCCAAAGCACTTATATAGGGACTACTTTAAGGCCAAAGTATATCTATTTGGGTACATGGACCCTTACGGATCAAGAAAACCTATCAAATCCTATAGCATCCCCGGGGGCTGCCCGCCTCATCGGAGCCGTGTGTGTCGCGCTGGACCATGAGAATCTCCTTCGCCGCCTGTCAGTTTTGGTGGGGATCTATGGGCTTAAGGACCCAAAGGGTCCAAGTTATAGTATGGTATATACTTTGGGGGCCCAAATACCTACAAAGTAGCTACCATATTAGTACTTGGACCCTTTGGGGGAAAGTTGAGGGTTTAAGGCGTAGCCAGGAACTGTAATCCCCAGACAACTATACGAGAAGCATCCCTCACCGCTAGGTATACATGTCCCCTATAGTAAGCGCCCTTATATGAAAATGAAGGATCCTCCATCCCACCTTGCCTTCATCCTAACTTCTGAAGCCCCTTTGATTCAGCCTTAGGGCTCGGGCTTAAGACCCAACCTCACAGATGTCGACAGTAAAGTCTGTCAACCCTTCCAGGGTAAAGCAAGATTCTGTCCCAATTACCCAAGACCTACAACCCCACCCTAACCCCCCCAGGTACCTACTATTTAGGGCCTTAGAGGCTCTAGTACCCTATATAGTGGGTACCTGGGGGGTTACGGCCAAGTCGTTAAAACCCGCGGCCTTGATCAAGCGTCCGAGAATCACCGCGTGCCCCAAGGCCTTGTCTGCCTGAGGGGCAAAACCAACTTCGGACGTCAGGCTCGTATGGGGGCTTTAGGTTTTAGGGTTTAGGGTTTAGGTTTAGGGTTTAGGGTTTAGGGTTATGGGCGCTGCTTAGGGCTAGTGTAGGCATCGGGGTAGCTTCTGACTGAGGAGGTTATGGCGTAATTTCCGGAGCATCTGCTGTTCAGTTAGTTACACACATTGCCGTGTGATATGCAGACTGGGCGAAGCCCACCCAAAACTCTGAATCTAAAGCCAAAATAGCCTGAAAAACTGAACCGAAGCCGTATGGGCCCGATATAAAGCACTGCAGGACTTGACGCATAAAAAGGTTTAGAACTACCTAAAGGGTCCTTCACGCGGGTTTAGAACGAAGGCAAAGGCAGCTCCTGCCTCTATGTCTCGTGGTATCACGCCCACTGCTGAAACGTACCTGCGAGAAAAAGTCGACGCGCAGCACAAACCTTAAGGACGAAATGAAGCCCGAAAAGGGTTTTGGGTTCATATACCAAATACCATATAAGGATTCATAGTATAAGGGTAAAGAGCCCCTACTTTTAAGGGTCGTTTCGTCCTTCAGGATTGCGGGATACGCTACGGTTTAGCTTGAGCTTTCAGGTTTTCGGAGTGAAGGTTGAAGGGGTTTCAGGAAACAGGAGACCATAAAGCCATGGACCCTATGTGTAGGATAATTTCTATGAGGGCACCTGCAAAATGGGACCTTTTGGGTTTCTGTGAGACGGATCCCCTAACCATGAACTCTACATATTGTGGGCACTAGCGATTCTGCGGCCCTGCCCACACCAAATATACAGAACAAAGCAGATTAAATGGTCGTCGTATATGCAAATGCATAAATATCAACTAGTTTGGCAGAGAACCCGAAACCCTGAACCCCCATAATGTAGGGGCCTAAGTAAGTACCAATAATGCTTTGTGGGCTCCTTATTATAGATATAGTATAATGGGCCCCAAAACCCTATTCTAATTATTAAGAAGGCCCCTATACTACCCTAAACCCGACACGATCGCGCACTCTTCGCCCACAGTCTCAATCTTGGTGACCTGGCGGTGCCGCACAAAATCCCCGCAACTGCATCCTGCACACGACGCCTGCAACCCCGAGACTCCCCCTCTTGGGTAAGGGGTTGAGGGTTTTGGGGCTTAGGTTTTCGGATTTGAAGGCTTTTAGGCTAAGGATTTCGGGTTTTAGGGTTTGGGTTGTCGGCTTCTGTTGCCATGAGCCTAATGCCTAAAGCCCCAAAGCAACTCCGAAGGTCTTAAGCTCCTGGCGGCATCTTTCTGGGACCTCAACTTAAAGCCGCCACAGCCCAAGCACCAAGCTGGAAGACGCCTTGCCAGAATCCTCACAATTGTTCCCAACGCACCCCATATGGTGCTCAATACTGGCCGTTTGTGCGCCAAGACAGAAATCTTTAGGATGCCCAGGTATGCTCAACAAGCGGAGGCCCTAAATTCTGAACCCCTAAACCCTAAACCCTAAAGCCCTAAACCCTAAACCCTAATCCCTAAACCCCTAAACCTCGCGAAACTTCGGCGCAAAACTCCACGACATCAAACCCCTGAAGCTCCAGCAGCTACAAAGTTCGGAAGCTTTGGGCATTCTTTAAGAGCTCCTTTTAAGTTCTCGCATAGGTTTCTACACAAGTTCCCATAAGGGTTCCTATACGCCAAGATTCTCCGGACGTGCGGATTGAGGGTGCGCCTTCACGCGAAACCCTAAACTCCAACCCTACACCTCTAATCCCACGCCCCGGAACCCTAAAACCCTAAGCCCCTAAACCCCTATTCCCCAAACCCGGAACCGTATAGACACCGACTGCAACTTGAGCTTCAGTTTGGGGCTGCCCCATGCAGGTCTCTAAATCCTAAGAGTCTAAAGCCCCAACCCTTAAATCCCAAGCACCCCACATCCCCCCTGGTGCCCGGAATTTTGAAGCCCTCAAACCCCTGACCAAACAGCCCCTAAACCCTAAACCCTGAACCCCTAAACCCCTGACCAAAAAGCCCCTAAACCCTAAACTTAAACCCCAGCCCTCTCTCCGGCCTCATGAGCAGAGCAGATGTCGTCGAACTTCGTGAAATAATGGTTCCTTCGTATAGAACTCAGCTTTTCCGGACCCCCTCCAGACAAGTTCCTTAAAGGTGGGGCTAACGGGCACAAAACCAAAACATGGGCAACCAAAAAAGCTAAAGTTTTTGTCTGTAATGCAGCGGTTCCGAGCCTCTAGATTACGCCGGAGTGGCTAGGATGTCTCAGGATTTCTTCCCTCTGGTAAACCCCTGCGAAGGTTTGCCGCTCTTGGGGTCTGAAAGTTCCAGGGTTTGGCTGTAGGTTGTGTAGGCTCTTATATGGGTTTGCTATATACTGTCACAGATTAACTGATATGTACAGGTGTGTGGGTCAGAGTGTATTTATTGCTGTCGTTGTGTTTTGCTGTCGTCCCCCCGGAAAACGCGTGTTTTTGCTGTCATGCCTCAGGCCGGGGTTCACTATTTCACTGGCTTCCTGGGTTTGTGCGCAGACAGCAACAAAACTGCAGCAAAAAACAATAACGTGGGTTTCATATGTGTGTTTGTGTGATCTTGCATCTTCGACATCAAGTGAGGAAGCCTATGATCCCACCCTAAACCCTGAATTACAAAAAACAACCTCAACCTTAAACCCTAAACCCTGTACCCTAAACCCACCCCCAAACCCAAGCCCAAACGAGGGGTCTGATTGTCGGGCTTGGGGCTTCCAAATGACGTGTACAAGCTGCACCTTAACCCACCAGGACCCTACTTCTTTGGAATAATTCCCATAGTATGTAGGGTTTATCAGAAGATCTTACAGAAAACTAGGACGTGCTAGTTTAATGTAGTTACCCTCGGCCTTACTATCAGGGTATATCATAAAACAATGCTCAAACGGATCTGCTGCGGGGCTCGCAAACCACCGAAGAACCCGAAGGGTCCTATGTATATAGTAGAATGTAGGGTTTCTAAACTAGGAACTACTATTAAAGGGAAGTATCCCCCAAAACAATATGTAGGACCCTTTGCGTACGCATGGCGGCGAAGTACAGAGCCCCGCAGACAACAGACTCGCCCAAAGGAGCCGGGCTAGATGCTTCTGCATCCGAACCCAAAAAACCGATACCCGGGATCGGTTTGGGGTTTAGGGTTTAGGGTTTAGGGTTTAGGACCCCCAAAATGGCTGTCTCTGTCGAGCAAAAATACCGGAACCCCGACAGAGAAGCTCCGTGCGCCCAAGTGGGAGCTAGGATTAGGGGGACTTTTGGGGAAATAGACCCTCTGAATAAGGTCCCTTTTAAGAGAGCCAAAAGTAGGGTTCAGAAGGGGTACCCTGTAAGGGGTGCCCCCAATAATACTTCCTACCAAGAAACAGGTAGGCCAACAGAGCTTCTGGCCTAAGCAGCGCTTCGGGTCCAGGGCCGAGGCGTTGAGTTGCCACATGTTTCTTACATTCTGAGTTTAGGGTTTAGGGTTTAGGGTTTAGGGTTTACTGAATGGGAGTGTCCGAAAACAAGGGGTACCTTATTTTGGGGTCCTGATAATCAGGATCCTACCATTTAGGGTACTAGATTAGGGTCCC